TTACTATATATATATATATATATATATATATATATATATATACTATACATCACTCTACATATATATCTCTTCTTATACATAACTACTTAACCACATATGCAAACTAATTAATTGTGTTGCTATGCAAGACCGTTTGAACACCTTTTGTATGATTCATCCCAAACAGTCGTACATACTTTGAATGGCGTAGTGTTAATTGTACATATACTTCTTTCTTTTATTCCCTTCTTCTAATGAAGAGAGCACGTTTCACCAAGAGCGACCATTTCTCATAATGACTTATATGGCAGTAAAGTAAATTACTGGGCAATCGTGTTCTATGTATGAACAGTATTCGTTGGCTAATTGAAAAGTAATCATTTTGTATACGAGATAGAAATACTTTGATCAAATTGATCAAATGTTTCAACATTATTCTTCTTGTGTCAAGTTTCATGTGATAGAAATTTGAAATGATGAAGAATGAATTAATTGAAGAAAAGAAAAAAAAAAAAAAGAAGATATTTCGATATTTAAAAGATATGTACATATATCGTAATAAATCACGTTTGAAAGTAATGAAGAAAGCTTACGTAAGAGTTTACAATGATCCGATCAAGTAGCCAGAATTATTTTTTTTTTTTAATTACTACGTTAGTCATATAAGTTTTACAGGAAGATATTACTGTCATTTTGACACTACCTTTTTTTTTAGAAATACCGTACCGTTCTATTCTATTTCACCTTCCACACAACCACAAATCAACTATGATCATTATTTTGTTGGTAAAATCTATTTTGTGTACGTACATTTACGACTTTTTTGTGTACGATTAGTAAGGTGTGTTTTAGATGCTACGGGAATGCTTCCGTCTGTGGACGACGTCTATGTGCATTGTGGTCCCCCTCCTTCCACTATCTGGGGCATGACTATTAATGTCTCAGTTTTTGCAAGCTTCTTCAAATTTCACTATTCTTCACTTTTCGCTTTTCGTTTATCTCGTTCGCTAAAATCGGCTAAAATGAAATTTTATTCTATCTCTTCAATAAGGAAACGAATATCTTGTAAATTTCTCTATATAATAACGTAATTCTAGAAATTAATTCTAAAAAAAAAAAATAGAAAATTAGTTGTTAGATAGATTGCTTTTAATTTAAACACTTTGATTTCGATAAAAATTCTAAAGGAAACGAATGTTCCAAGTGTTTTGAATTGCATAAAGAGCTTGAAAAAAAAAAAAAAATTTAAGCTTCAAAGATTCCAAAGATTCATTTTAGCTGCAATTGGTTGGGAAAAAACGTGTCACCTGTGTAAGTTTGAAATTAATAGTGAAGCGAGAAGCTAGCAAAAACAGCAAGGTCTGTACTAATTCACTGTCATTCACACAGTCACTCTCTAATATTCTCGAACAACTAACACTTTCTTTTCGAATTTCTTGCATTGTGTTTCATTAGGACGGATAGAAGATATACTTTTTTTTTTTTCTTAATTTACTAGATGCAATTTTTTATAAGTATCCAAGACATATTTATATATATATATATACATACGTATTTTAAAGTACTTTCTTAATACTAGTCGATCAATAAAATAATAGAATCAGGCATTGCTTTAAAGAGTTATTCGAATACGCTACATATGTAAAAACATTGCATATCGCAGGGCAAATGTGATTGGTGTTCTTCAACGATTCTTTCATACAGGAACAAGCTATGTAGAAATATATAAAAAGAAAAAAAAATACATAGATTCGAATCCTTCGATTAAAACGATCATTTAATTTCGAGATTAATTACTTGAAGAGACGAAGAAAATTTAATTTACCAAGAAGAAGAAGAAGAAGAAGAATAACAACAACAATAATTTTGACGATACAGTATCCAATATAACTTCATACGATTAAACGAAAGATCAATTTTTTTGTTCTATTTTTAATTTTTCGAAAATATATCTCTATATAATATATAAACTTACGTATATTTGCAAGTAATAACCATTTTTATAAAATAATCCAAAGGAAATAAAAATAGATAACGAAGAGATTTATACATCCTTCTTATTGCTTCTTATTCAAAACAACGTTTTTAAGCAACGTTTAAAAATCGTTGAAAAATAATTCACGAGCACGTTTTGCCTTGCGACACGGTTTGAGACGTAAGTTTGTATACGATGTTGTATGGGTACAGGTACCAGGCGGGCCGCACAAGAAAGAACTTTTGGAAAATCTGGATCGTGTGCCAACGTACGTCCAACAGCTTCAATTCACCGTGAAGAACCCTACGGTCGGGAAGGCGGCCACTTTTACGAAAGTCGACAACGTGATACAAGAGACTAAAAATTTAATGAACGTGATTTCGAAAGTGGTCACCACGTGTTTCGTCTGCGCTACAAAGGTAAGATACGTTGATCACGTTTCTTGTTTTAATCCACGGGAAAATGAACGTCGATTTCACATCCAATGTTTGTTTCAACTTCACGATTTTGCCTTTTGTTTAGGATTTTTCACTTTTTGCGTTTTTTTTCTTTTTTTTTTTTTTTTTTTCATTCTCTCTTCTTTATTTTTCTTTTTCTCGCTCGAAAAAGCAGAATTATCCAGTCTTTTGTTGTTTTGCCACAGTTTTTAAAAAGTAGATTTAACAATGGCGATGCGGGGAGTTGGTACTTAAATATTTTTCTTTGTTCGAAAGTTAAAGCTGATCGAACAAAGGAGGAGGTATCTTTTTATCGTAGCTAGCTTCGTATCATAGTAGAAGATACTATGTCTCGATTTTTAACTATCAAATTCAAGTAGTCACGTATGTTATATTACTAAGTAACGAAAGATCGTTTCTCTCTCTCCGCGAATATTTCCCATTTTTCCAACTGCAAGTTGTTTGACAATTCGATAGCTTTTTTTCCTAAGAAAAAAAAAAACTCTCACGATCATCGAATCATCTCTCAATTTCATAATCATTCTTTACTCGAAATCTCACGTCAATAATCGAACGAGTTTATCTCGCAAGAGGGAAATATTCGGGGAGAGTGAGCAGAGGCGGGCACAGAGTCGTCAAGTGTTCTACATATATCCTTCCATGCACCCGTCGATGTAGCACAATGTCACGATGCCGCAGTACGTGGAGCTGAGCCCAACGGTGCCTGGCCTAGCCGAAGAGGATTGCTTGTACCCGGTTAGCCCCCAATTGCTACCGTCCACCAGTCCCTACGTGCAACCCCATCCCCTCACATCCGCCCAGTTGCACAACATTCTCAGAGGTCCAAACTTCAACTTTCCCCAATTGTTCAATTACAACAACACGTTGGCAAACAGCACAACTTCCACAACGACGACGAGGAACACGGCCTCCTTCGTCCATCCATCCGTCCTCCCATACTCGTCACCGGTCACGTCCACCCCCAGTTGCGGGCCGCAGGCTCCCTATTGCCTGCAGAATCTACAATTGTTGCAGCTGCAGCTGCAACAGGCACAGCTGCAGCACCTAAGACACGCCACTCTGCCGAGATAACACAGACTTTCGTTGCACCGCCAACGTGTGCTCTTCACGCGAAGCCACAACGCGATGCGTTGCTCTTTACGTTGCACAGGTTCGACTTTCGTTTTACTTTTTTTCTTTTTTTCTTTTTCTCCCTCCCTCTTCCATTATTTTTTGTCTTTCGTTCTCTCTCGTTTTGCTCTTCTCTCCCCGCTTCTGCTTCGTCGCTCTTCATCCTTGATCCTCACGATCGATCGAATTTTTCGGGTCTTTGGATTTTTGGTGAGATCGAGACGAGAATCGAAGTTTGAAAATATTTCGGAATTAAATCTCGTATTTTTTCTCGATACTTTCAAAAAAGTATTAATTATTCACTTAAATTATTTATAGATTATATCTTGTTTAGATCTCTCACTTTTCATTCATCTATTTTTTTTAAAAATCCAATTACCAATTGTAAATACATTGAACATAATTATATTGAAAATTATAAATATTTTCTTGTCAGATCCATTTGTTTGATCGATCGTCTTGGAACATTTTTCCTTTCTTTTATTTCACCCGATATTGCATATTTTACGCGTAGGCTTTGTTTTTTATATCGCTCTAATAAGTTGGCTAAAGAGTTTTTTTTCCTCTTTTTTCTTCTTTTTTTTTTTCTTATCACACTTTTTCAGACATTTTTTTTCCACGAGTATGAACGAGCTTTATTAACAAGGTACATCTCGACAATATTCAACGGCACTGTTGAAGAGAAAACTGTTAATCAATCTGGTTTTACTGTTCTTTTT